AAGCTGATGGAAGACTTGACTTGGATAAAAAGTCAGTTTTTAGTTATTTTGAACCATTTTTAATATTGAATGAATAATAAGTATCATTAAAATCAGTGTTTCTCTTGGATTTTTTTGAGCTGCAATGCATTCTGGGATTGCCTCCTCTATGAAGGACATGTGCATAATTAAGATGCGTTTGGAATAGCTTTTGTACTGAGAGTAGGGATGCAATGGCAGATATTGAAATTATGAACTATTTTGACGAAATGAGTTAAAATATAGAAACTAAAAATAATTGTATCAAATGATACAAGTGAATTTAGGCATTACATTATTGTAAGCAATGATGTTTTTTAAAGGTTCTTTACACATAGTAACAGTTCTATTTAGAACCACATCAACCTGATCTTTGCTGAAATGGTTCTTTCTGTTAGAGTTTAGAGTTCTTTAGCACCAAAAAAGGTTTCTGCTATTGTTAGAAGCCGAAGTACTGTTTAGAATAATTTGAAAAAGAGTGTAACAGTATTTTTTTTTAAATCAATAAAATAATAATAATAATAATAATAATAATAAATATGAGTAGCCATAAACTGATTAAAATATAAAAAATATTTTTACTTTTATATTTTTAAAACAAATGTTGAATCATATTTTGATATATTATCTAAATTTTATTTAAGTGTTATTAACTTTAACTAAGTGTTAGATGTAAAAAAAAAGAGATATATTTTAGATAGATTTTGTAATAAATATTGTTAGGCTATTATTAGATATTTTTAGATATTATCAAAATTATAATTAACAGTTATATTAAATTATTTGTTTTAATAGTTAACTTGAGTGTTAGATGTAAAAATTGAGAAATGACCATGCACAATTCAATGCAGATAAATAAACTCACCCTGAACCACGAGTCAAGGGCACACAGTGTTCATGAAATACTCTATAATCCTGAAAAGGCACCTAATTGACTGTCTAACCAAGTGAAAATGGATATCAAACTCTGGTGTATGTGTAACACCAAAGGTCATGTGTGCTGGATGAATGTAGGGCTGACTAGTGTCTAGTCTCAGTGCACTTTGGGTATGTAGCAAACTGCAAAATACCTCTGCTTTGTGTCAGGCGTACATTGGCTTTTAAAAATAAATGCTCATCTGTTTCATTCTCAATTAAACTACCAGATATAATTTCTTTGGCAAGGAGCGTATTCCCATGTTGCATATCCATCTCGTGAGAACTCAGTCTACACGCACAGTAACAGCAGGTGTTGAGACAGGATGAGGGTTTAGGCAAAAATTAATTTTAATTTGGATTCTTCTAAAGTAAAAGAGCCAAAATGAACGCACTCAAATCCAAGTTAGCATTTGAGAAAACAAGGTCAAATTAACTACCTGCTTCTTATGAGGAAACACACATAAGAAAATGGCAATCTAGCGACATTCATCCTGTACCATCAAACCATTCACCCATTTAATGAAATTGCCTCGTTTCAGAAGATTTCACCCATGGTTGATCGTTTAATGCTAAATGAAACTTGTCATCATTTAATCACTGTTATTTAACTTAAAACCCACATGATTTTCTGTCTACCAAGGAAAACAAAAGGAATTCATGTGCTCCTTCAACAAAACTGTTACATACTGTCAGGCTCCAGAAGTTACAGAAACACAATAATAGTTGTCCATGTGTGACATATTCAGACTTCTAAAACCATATGATAGCTTTGTGTGAGGAACTTAAGCAGTTGTCAATGAATAATGGCATAAATTGTACTGCTATTCTCACACTAACTAGCAATATAGTGCACAAGTCGTATATATGGTGCTGTCTTGTCTTTTAAAACTGCCTTGCCTCATCACTCAAAATAAAGGCATCTGCTTTGTTCTAGGACAGAAGCTGGTGATCCATTTTATGATTAATGATGAAGGAAAGGTACATTTAAACTTACAGGATAAATCAACTTACAAAGTCCTTTTGGTGAAGCAGCAAAAGGTGGATTTAGTGCTCAGACAAATAGCTATTTAACCATGCCTGGAAAGCATTGTCAATGCTTGTCTTGCCTTCTTCATTCCTGTCTCCTATGGTCTCGACAGGGACAGAGATGAGCTCCATGGAGGCATACAAAGGGTCAAAGACAGTTCTTCTGTATCAAAAGACTTGCTCAAAACCACATTCTCACACATGTTCAATGTGGCACGTAACACTGGTGGTGGAGGCTTTATCTGGTGATCTTCTGAGAACTGCAAAATAAACTTGACGAGACCTCTTTGTGGGAAAATGATGCCATGAGCGGAGATATTGATTAGAGCTGAAAATGATGTGAGTCAAGATAGCAGGGCGACCATATATGAAGTTAGGAGCCACACTCCGACAACATATATCAACTGAGATCCTTCAAATCCAGAAAATGTTGGTGATTTATTGCATTACACAAACCCAATCCTGGATCCTGCCCTCTCACATGCAAGAGTGGCCAGATTTCGCAGTGTGTCACATGCTACCTTCTTCTTTGGAAGCACACTGTTGTCATTTCCTTTTATTCCTAATAATCATGATTTGCGTAGTGATTGATGGACTTTTTACAACTGTCATTTCATTCCCTGCTTTTATCATCACGTCTAATTGCTTAACCATCCCGTAGTCAACCCCCTGGTTCTAATAAAGCTGACAGTTTGCCGGTAAACGCTCTTTCGGACACCCCCTTCTGCTCGGCCTCTCCAAACCTCCTCCTGTAATACCCATTACTGTTCGTAACTCAGTCTTCCGCTTGCAACCCATTCCCCACCATCCCTCGCTCTCAGAAACCTCGGTTGCGCTTCATTCACAATAATTATAATAACGTCTTGTGGTTCAGGTATGAGAAGAACATACCTCAGTCTAGATGTAGAAAGTTTCTTAATGGGCATTCCTGTGCTACTGCTTGGCATATTTGCATGGCTAAAGCAAGTATATAGCATTACAGCCTTTAGGAAATATGTGACCGCACCGCTGATATCCGAGTATTCAAAACAGCGTTTTTGTCGAATGTGCATTTTACTACATCCATCAAAGACTTGTAATGAAAGCCATGAAAATGGATTTCCTGTTTTGGACGACTCTACAAGGAGCTACAAAACCTCTGGCCCAATGAACTCTGCAGCTGAACAATTATTTTTAAACAAGCATGCTTGAAGGATGATCATGCAAATGCTACCAACCCGCTAGCACAGTTTGTTGCTCAACATATTGTTTGCATATTTATTTGCATAGGTAAATGTCCTTCAGTTTATGTAACTTCACTTTACTGTACCATTTTGTCACAGTAGTCGCCTGTAACAAAGTTTGTAGATGGGGAAGGAGGAGGCGGGAACCGGCGAACATTTAAACATAAAACTTTAATAATCAAATAGCTCATTATCATTTACTCCACCGGCTTTGCTCCGTTCCCACAGCTCTCGACCCCGCCCCACTCGTCACATCGTATTACAATGCAAGATTTGAATTCAATGTGGCGACTCGATGAATAAAATATGACTGTGAAAATTCGTTGTATTCCAGGTCATACATTTTCTGGTGGATTATTCTGCTAAATATATTTTACTGTTTCTCAAGATGTTTCACCTTTAATCCGAGTGGCCTCATCAGCTGTAGACCGATGGTAGAGACTCCCCGACATAAGACTCATAAGACATTAAGGCGACGTGCCCACCAAAGTGTTTTTAGCGAGCTAAAAATGCCTTGGTGGGAGTGCTTGAGAGCTCTTCTGCAGCGCAGCGTTTTCAGTTGAGATGCTTTGGTTGCTATGATACGGAATATCCGCTAAAGTAATGTGGCAGACACTTCGCAAATTAAATTGTTCTCCAAGCATTATTTTTCTAACAATATTGTGGTAGTTCACAAGCAGGGTGTGACGATTGGTCTGGGTGATATTAGTCCCGCTCCTCCATTGTGATTAGATGGCTGGGTAAAAAATGACAGTTATGAGCACTGCGTAGTGCGTGCCCAAAGTCGAACATTCTTCAACTCTCACTGGCGAGAAAAAAAATTCCCAGCATGAAAAATACTCTCAGCACCTCGTCACGCTCCTGGCGTTTAAACAAATTGTGGCACTCCCATTGAAAACAATTGAAAAAATACACTAGCCTCGGGGGAAAATCAGCTTTGGTGGACACGCTGCCTAACAGTTGGAGTTGTTGCAGACGTAGAGATTACATGTGTGAAATGGGTTTGGGCTTCTGTTTAAATCCCATCATCAGCTAGAACACAAATTAGCAGACAAGATCTTCAAATTAAACAAACAAGCAATATTGGGGAACACTTCAAACCACCAGAACAACAGGGGTCTGCGGGAAAAGTGTAATGTTCAGAGCTGTACCTCAGTGAACTTTGTCTGCTTCTTAGAACTCTTGACAAATTCACTCCAACTAACACCTGTAATCTCCACCTCTGCAAGGACTCAAACAATCTTGAAAAGTCATTCATAGAGGTTAAATATCAGAGAGTCTGACTACAACCATAAGAGATGAGGACACTTGAATAAGTTGTGAAATGTCTTGAGCAACAAGGAAACATGGAGAAAATTCAGTGCATAAAAACATGCACGAACACTCAAGAGTTTCAGTGTACTTCAATGACTTCCACAGTCTCCAGATCTCAAAAGAGAAAGGTCAGATTCACATCCTGAACGCGCAGCTGATAAATCTGCAGCAATTGTATCATGCTACCATGTCAACAGAGACCAGAATCTCTAAAAAATATTTCCAGTCCCTTACTAAATCCATGCCACGAGGTTGTTGTCAGGACAAAGGGATTCGTAAAAGTTGTACCTGATGAAGTGGTGGCTAAATTACCATGAATTATGGTAGTCAGGGTACCAGAAGCAGCAAGCATTACAGATAATGAAATTCTCACAACTATCAAGTCCCCAGTGTGCACTCTCTGATATTATCACCACAGTGTGATTTGTGAAACAACGAAAGCTGATGGTAATCAGTGACCTGTGATCAACTCTTCTTTTAACAGCCTCTAACTTAGATAATTTAAACTGATCTGGATGCAGAGCATGCTGCAGCTTCTGCCATTATCTTCTGGGTGAGGGTTCCTTGAATCTCTCTATAAAAGCAGAACCCAACATCTCTGTGGCGCACACCGAGTGTAACTGAGCTGTCTACAATGAGCATCCTTTGGCATATCACTTGTCTGCTACTGCTGCGTTCCTGCACCCCAGGTATTCACATCCAATTTATTTTAGTTATTACAAAAGGCTCAGAATACGCTGTTGAATAGTTTCATAGAACTAAACTGTTTTTTAGGTTTCTCCATGCATGATGGTATTGTTGGCGGTAGGGTCTCTATTCCCCACAGTCGACCCTACATGGTCTACATTCGTGATAAGATATCACAATTAACATGTGATGGTTTTTTGATAAGAGAGGATTATGTGATGACAGCTGCTCACTGTAAACAAAGGTAGGTGAAATTATCATATTTTATAATGTTATACTGACTTGGTATCTAACAATTGAAAAAAAAAAGATTGAATTGAATCAAAAATTGTGAAGTTTGACATCCAAAGGGGCCATTTGGTCTTTTTACTGTAAATATATAAATATTTTGAATAATTTTGTAAATCTTTTTCAGTCCTAGTCATCTTGTGGTATTTGTGGGGGTCCATGACATCAACTTTTTACCTGACGGTATAGAGGTAGATCCCATTCCACATCCAAAATTCAGTATGGAGAGACCAGATCATGACATCATGCTTCTAAAGGTAATATATAATGTTGAAAAATTTCATCACCATCACACCTAGAAAAATGGCCTTTCATGATAGGAAATGGTTGACATTTGCAGAATATAGTTTTGCTATATAACTTTATCACTTGTAATGAATGCATTATCTTTACATTTCTTTTTAAAAAAGCATTTAAAAATATAGGGGTTATCGACACCTGTACCTTTGAGCAAATCTTTGCAAACCATCATTTATCAAAATCCTGAGAATGAAGAAATCTCAAAGGACTGCATGGTCGTGGGATGGGGCTGGCAGGATTACCATGACGAGTCTCCATCAAATGTGCTCCAAGAAGCAAACGTGACTCTGATAGACTCTGAAAACTGTGGCACGGCTGACACTCTGTGCACTGAGGGATCAACTGAACCAGCACAGGTATTTCAAGTGCCACCACTCACAAATTCTTATCTACTGTATGGTGTATCAGTGTCAGTGCATTGCGATATACTAATAATCAAATGATATAATCCACAGGGAGACTCTGGGGGTCCACTTGTTTGTGGAGGTGTTGCAGAGGGAATTGTGTCTTTTTCCAAAACCAAGAGCAATGCAGACCACCTCTCAGCATACACTCGAATTTCCCTCTACTATCCATGGATTCAGAGCATCATTAATCCACCTACTCAGCAGCAATCTGAAACATGGAAGGGCAAGCTGGATAAACTAATTTAGTTGTCTGGTTCAATGCAAGTTCTATCATTGCTTGGTGTCAATTTTACACCAATCAGCATATGTGTGACATTAAATGTGCGGGTTTTAAAATAAAGGCTCATATGTAACACACAAGTCTAATAAGAATTTAATTTTCTGGGTTTAAAACCTACTTGCAATGCAAAGTACTGAACACAATACTGTAAAGAAAATGTATTGAATTCACAAGATTTTAAAATGAACACCTTTCTACAGCATCACCACTTTGAGCAAAATATAGCACAATCAAACTTGAATCTAGACAAAAAAGTATGAAATTATTAATTTCAAAAATATATATATTGCAATTAAACGAACACACTGAAAATAAAAATCATGCATCTGAAACAAACAGTTGTATGCCTTATGCGTCAGATCATGACGCATGTGATTCCTTACATGCATTTGAACTCATTTTATTTTTATACTTTCATAGATACTGTAGATTACCTAACCCCACCCCTACCTTAAACCCAGGGATGGTCCTAGCATTTTGGGGGCCCTAAACAGATTTTCAAAAGGGGGCTCCACTACATACAGTTTCACCTAACCACCACCTCCCTTCCTCCAGTGTGCATTTCCTACAATGACACCTTATTGTAAAGCAGTGGCGTAGGCAGAATTTTATTTTTGGGCAGGCTTGGGCAAAATTGAGCGGACACTCGTAACTAACGTTACCTAGTTAGCTAGACTCAATATTCAGGTCATTTCAATCTTCTTTTCGTTGATCCTATTGAAAAATAAACCGTAGAACACAGTGGAAGACATGCATAGTAAAACTACCTCATCTCCGTCACCATCACGAACGTGCCCACTGTCAACATATGAAACTCATTCACAATAGCCCCAATCCCTAAATACTATTGCAGATTGCAGTAGCTACAACCTATCCACATACAAAACCTGAGTATCAGTTAGAATGAAAATTAAATACGGCTTTATTTATTCTGAAACAGAAGTCATTTAAAATTTAATTTGTACAGTGCCTATAAAAAGTATTCGTACCCCTTCATTTTTTTGTTACGTTTTGTTATGTTGCAGCCTTATGTTAAACTGCTTTAAATAACTTTTCTTCCCACATCAATCTACACTCCACACACCATAATGACAAAGCAAAAAACAGGTTTGTAACAACTTTGCAAATTTATTAGAAATAAAAAACTGAAATGATTCCATTGCATAAGTATTCTTTTCTGGGACAGATCAAGCATTGCGTTAGTTCAGGCAGGCCACGTCAGTCAAGCTCGCATCAGCTGATAGTCAGCTGTTCCTGACGTGTACCAATCCAGTTTTGACACTTATCATAGCGGTCCATTTAAATTCCCATTCTCCAGCATCTCTTCTATCGCATTGCTGCTCGCAAATCAACTCCCTCCTCCAACCCCAACTCCACCTAACTGAACCTGTAATCTAATCTCTTTTATTTTTCTTTCCTCTCTTCTTCGTATACAGTTTGCTACTGCAAGCATTCTCTATCATGTATTTTGTATTTCTACAACTCATGTAAATCGTGAATTGTAATTATGTATGCATATATTGGTTCTGTCAGGACCACTATCGTCAAAGATGATTTACAATTAGCATACAGTTTGGATTGGCGGTATGGTTCTGTTCTGGGCAAGAACTCCCTGCGCATCCATGCAGCCTAGCATTGATGAGAGCAGGGAGAGCAGCGATAAATTCTTTAGACACCGCACACTACACGACTTTAAACACCGACTGAAAACACCGACTGAGCCTAAATTACATTCATAATCAGCCTGACAGTAGTGTGTTCAGCTTTACAGAATGAACTGGATCAGCCTGCGCTCGGAACTGAAAAGTCTTACTGTTACTTGCAGGCTGATGGACGGGTTCTTTCCTTCGTCAGAGCGAGATTTTAAAAGTCCTTTTTACAGAATTATGCATTGCTGCTATTTTTCTAACATTTTCTAACACACAGCTGCAAATTACAGGCTAACTGAATGGGTTACACATGAATTCACAGGCGCATCATGCCTGAGACCATAGATGAAACAGAAACAACATACGTCATCACTCCCATACCATAATACCTTCAAATAGAACAATAGGTAATTTGGCTGATACCGTAATGCAATGTATAAGAGTGCAATACTTAACACCCCCACTCGCTCTTAGCTTATTGTATTACCAGAAAAATAACAAAAACAAATAAGACTTTTCTTTTACATACATAATGTAAACATACATACACTCTTAAGTGCCAAACAATGGCGTCCTGGTAGGTTTTCGGTGTATCGCATACTGCTCTATAACAATAGTCTATGCATGTTTGCAGTTTGTCCTCCATATTTTCAGTCTCAAAATCCTGTAGATGAGCTGGTCTCCTCCTAGTTCTTGGTGGGTTCCTTCTGATTTCAGTCTCAGTCGCTCCATCTGGCTGTGTGGATTCAGTCTGTTCAGGCAAAGTCTCAGAAGCACCACTCTGATTGTCTTGGCCTGGTACATCTTTCACACTTTCATCAACATTTTTCTCACTGTTAATGATATTAGGATTCATATCCCCGTATTCTGTGTGTGTCTCAGGTGTTTGTGTTTCTCTTTCTTTGGTTGTTCTAGTTGTGAACTTCACCAGCCTATGCTTTTGGACCTTCTTTGTGCTTGGATAGTACACTAGATAAGCTGGGCTGTTTTTATCATAGCCAATGAAAATACCCTGTTCGCATCTAGAGTCTAATTTCCCTTTCTCTTGTTTGTAAACAAAACACGTCGATCCAAATTTATGCATGTTGGAAACGTCTGGCTTTCTGCCTGTGAATAACTCATATGGTGTTTTCTTTGTACGTCTACAGTAGCACCTGTTTCTCACGTAAGCTGATGTTTGCATAGCGTAGTTCCACAACTCATCTGGTAACTCGCTTTCTATCAGTAAGCACCTGCTCATGTCATAGAGTGTTCTCCAACCTCTCTCTGCTGTGCCATTCTGGTGAGGCGAATAAGGTGCAGACGTTTCATGTCTAATCTTATTCTTTGTTAACAGTGCCTGAAAATCTCGACTCATAAATTCAGTGCCATTATCTGAACGGATGCACTTGACTTCTCCATAAGGTGCTATGTCTGCCAATAACTTTTCTGTGGCTTGTACTGTGTCTGCTTTAGACTTTAGAAAATACACTAACAAAGTACCTGAGTAGTCGTCTGTAAACGACTGTGTATACCTGTACCCTTCTTTGCTCTGTGTTGGCATAGGGCCGGCCAAATCAGTGTGAATTAGTTCTAAAGGTTTCTCTACCTTTCTGTCTGGCTCTCTGTTTCTTGTCTGAGTGAATTTCCCCTTCGTACACACTTCACATAACCGATTTTTGCTGACTGTGCTTCCTTTTATCTCCATGCCTCTAACCACACCCTGTAACTTTTATACATCTTCGTAGTTACAATGACCCAAAATTTCATGCCACGTTTGTAGATCATGACACACTTTGCACTTGTCAACACTTTCTTCAATAGTTGGCAAATAATACAAATTTCCACTTTCGTGGATGTCAAACCTGCTACCTTCTTTGGTAACCATGTGGCTGTTCCCTCTTTTAAAGGTAATTGTTGATCCTCCATTTGTTGCCCTTGCTACTGAGAAAATGTCATGTGGGTATGAAGGCATGTATAGTGTGTTCCTTAGCTGTGCTCTGTGATGTCGTCCAGTGTCATCTAGGAAATAAATCACGGCTGTTCCTCTTTGTTGCACCATTCCGCTGCACTTTGTCCCATCGGCTAGTTCCACTGAATGAGTCTCAGGTTGAAAAGAGCTGTCAAAGTTTTTGAACTTTCTGATGTCATTTACAATGTGAGATGTCGCTCCAGCGTCTACCATGATGCCTTTCTTCTTTACGTTGTCTGGCGGTCTTTCATACTCTGAGTGTTCGACTTTGAAGAGGTGGTCTTGATCACTGTCTCGTTCATCTGCAACCTTTCTAGCACCATCTTGGTCACCCTTTTTCTTGCACAGGAATTCTGCATGTGTACTATTTTTACAGTGGTTGCACCACACCCTCTTGTAAAACTTTCTTGCCTTGTGTCCTTTTAGTCCACATTTGTAACATGTCACATTGGCATCTTCAGCTTTTCTATCATTAGCGTGTGACTTGGGAGGGCCTCGTCCTTGTCTCGTGTGGGTCTTCATCACATTATCTGTAGTTTCTGTTCTTTTAATTTTCTCCGCCTCCTCGTAAATCCGCAATCTTCTTTTGAAGTCTGTGAACGTAACGTTGTCCTCATTTTGTGTAATGTGGACTGCTAGCGGCTTGAAAAGGTCTGGTAGCCCACGGAGAATCATAGCGATCGTCAGCCCGTCACTCATGGTTTCTCCTGCATCTCTAAGGGCTGTAATGATATTCTCTGCCCTTATTAAGTAATCAGTAACACTCTCGTGGTCAGTCATGCGTATCTGGGTTAACGATGTGTACATATTTATTATCCGTGGCTTACTTTTCCCCGAATAATGCTCTTTCATTTTTCTCAGGGCTTCTCTGCCATTATCATCAGCTTCATGTCTTATCAGTGATAAGCTTTTATCATCTATCAGTCTTATCAGTTCAGCATAGCAATCAGCATTCTTCCGTCTGTCTTCGGCTAGCTGTTCAGCGTCAGCATCAGCGGGCTCATGCAAAATAGTCTCTTTTAGCTTTAGAGTGTGCAAATAGCCTAGGAATCTTGTTTCCCAAAGGTCATATTTATCTTCGGATCCATCAAACAAAAGCTGCGTTACCTGGAATCCTGCCACTCTGCTTGCCATTTTGTAGAGTCGCTGTCTTTTCACTTCTTTTAAACAAGGCCTTTAACTTTACTGAATAACGCGTAATACGTCGTGTATAACTTGCTCAAAACGCCCGCTTGCTTCCGTGACTGGGCCCATAACCTGTTGAGCTTGAGTGCGCAGTTCACCATCAATCGGATACGAAGACAAAACGTTGCTCAAGGTTTTTACTTTTTCAGCATGCTCTCAGTTTATTCATCACTTCTGCTTTTTAGCCTAGTACAAAACGTAGTGACGTAAAACACATAACAACATACGTCATCACTCCCATACCATAATACCTTCAAA